TTTCTCCCCTTGTTCTTTCTTCTAATGGTACTATAATTCTTGGGTTCCATAGTAGATCTGATGTAAATTAATTTCATATTAACTATTTTGTCTAGATGAATATTGTGATCACATTACATTGGTAACACAATTGTGATGTTAAAACACTATTGATCCCTAAAATCTTTGGTAATACCATTTGTCTGGTTTTATTGCAGCATGCCCCATTTTTTATTTTAAAAATTTGAACCCTTTGTGAAACCACAATACATTTTCTAAATGATTGAAAAAAATAGCTTGCTTCATATTCTTTGTTGATATTATTATTTTTTGTCTATAAAGTTTTCGCTCTATACACAATTCCGTTTATTTTGGTCCACCACATAGACTGCGCATAAACTGATGATAATAAAAGGGCTGCATAATCCAAATAGAAAAACATTATAGATTATTAGAATTGCAAGATATTTGAAACTCCAAAAAGAATGTTCAGAAATATCTTTGATGAGACATTTCGTCAAACCGTTATCAAATAAATCACTATTTATTATTTTTCAAATTAAAATTCCTTTAATCTACGTAATTTCTTTCTCAGTTATGTGTGTTAAAGTTATTCAACAAGATTTCCTGATTCAATGTCGATGGCAATTTAGACAAATAAACATTGTAATAGTAATTACTATATTTTAAACATATTATATATTGTTGTATTTGGCAATGAGGAAAGATATTATTATATTGTGTGGCAGAGTAAAAAACAAAATTCATGCGAGTGTGGCTTTGATAGTTTCATTAATTTTTCTAAAAGAATGTTCAGAAATATCTTTGATGAGACATTTCGTCAAACCGTTATCAAATAAATCACTATTTATTATTTTTCAAATTAAAATTCCTTTAATCTACGTAATTTCTTTCTCAGTTATGTGTGTTAAAGTTATTCAACAAGATTTCCTGATTCAATGTCGATTGTTGTATTTGGCAATGAGGAAAGATATTATTATATTGTGTGGCAGAGTAAAAAACAAAATTCATGCGAGTGTGGCTTTGATAGTTTCATTAATTTTTCTATAAAAATAAAAAAGCATTTACTGATTATAAAAAATTTATTGTCTTTTTTCAAATTAATTGCTAATAATTAATACTAATGTATAACAATGTCTGAAAATAATCCCGATCCTGAAAAAGAAGATAAAGAATATTCAAGCATTGATATTGGTGGCCCTGGTGGAAATGTAAAATTAGTTAGTACAATTCAAAGTATTGGGCCAGGTGAAGGCGAAGATGGACCATCAATTACAGGAATTAAACCGGAAGCTGTTTTGGGTGGTTTACAAGTACTAGAGAAATTGGGTATAAAAGATGACATAGAAGAAGGTATAAGAGTATTTGATGATGATACAAAAGAAGAAAGAGCAAAAGAAACTAAATTGATCACTGCTCGTATAAATCAATTGGATGTTTTTATAACAGTTGGATTATACTACGCCTCCCTGATGACAAAATTAATGTTATCAAGAAGGTAAAATGAAAATTTTTTTATTAACTTTTTACTATTTTATTAATTAAAA